GTAGAGTAATTAAAGGATATTGGCTTTGGACTTGCTTTAGCTTTTACATTCTCTTTTTCTACTGTAAGACTTTGAGGATTTTTTTTTCTTTTAACCTGGTTTTATTACTTCAGATAACTGACTCTCTTGAAGGATATCCAAAAAGTAAATCATCTGAAAAACTTGCTCCTTTCTTAAATTTGTGTCACTGGAATATTTATTGTACTCTAGAATGATTTTGAATTTCAGTGCTTTAATGTGATATTCTTATGCCTGCACAAGCATTGTAAATGATATGTGCCATAATGACACTACACTTGTGTCTTTTGACATCACCAAAATCTGAGTGGCCCAACATAGTTATCTGTATATTGCAACATGACTGGAAATTTGCTGTGGGCTTATGTTGACCATAGTTAAGAGCTAATTGTTTCCTCAATCCTTGGCTTGAGAAATGTTGTGGTGTTATAGGGAATATGAAGGAACGAATAGAACAGCTTTATATATTTAATTTTTTAAATATCAAATGAGCTTGCAACAGCAGCAGTTAATGCCCATTCCAAATTTTCAATTTTTTAAATTAAAATATTATTTATTTACACTTGTATTTGGCTGATGTAAAATGCAGTTACTTTGATGTAATATGTTTTAACAACATGTAAAACAGTTGAAAATTATTTTTTATTTTTTGAAACTTTTTTTTTTTGCTTTGATGCTATGGAATAGAATATAATTTCTTTACTGACCTATTAGGAAAAGAGTATGGGTAGGATGGATTGGCAGTAGTAATTATTTTAGTTTCATGTGTGCCTTCCTCTGATTGTGTTGCTTTTACATTATCTGCTCAAACTAAATAGTAGACTGTAGAGTTGATGTACCCTTCAGAACTGCGACCCATTCCAAATTTAATACGACCCCTTCAGAAAACTGATCTGAAAAGGTTCCTCTGCTGCCTTCTGTCTACAGATTAATCACAAAGTCAGAAGTTTGCCAGTTATTTGAGAAAAACAGAGTTTTAAGGAAAGTTTATATGATCTTTCTTGTTTATGGTCACTATGTGTGTTATGCATGCTGGAATTTACTCTGAGGAAGGAGAGAAGGCTGAAGAATCATAAATTGGGGTGACCTTTCTTTGCAGTAGCTGCAGCTGTCCTCTCTATGATGCGAAACATGATGAAGATACATTACTGACCTTGCATCTAAGCAGGTATAGAGAGGCCTATGGCCAGGATTCTCAAATTTGAGAGATTAAAATTAGGTCCTTTAATCCATATTGAGGTGCCAAAGTAAGTGGCTCAACTTAGCTTTTACTTCTATTAAGAGAAAGTGAAAAGCACATTTGAAAATCAAATTGTAGTACTTGTGTATCTAAACATATGTATAGATGCTTAATGTTGGGCTCCACAGTTTAAAAATTTTGGCTTTTGCATTTTAAAATATCATGAGTGCATTCTCAAATGACTCAGAGTATGGTTTGATGATCCAGCATTACCTGGTGTTACCGTATATGTAAGAGAAAGATCCCCCTAAATCTGTTCTCACTTCTCAGTGTTCATATACTGTCTAGTTTCAATCAGTTTGTATCCTCCTCTTGATGACTGTGGCAAGTATATTTGTTAATGCAAAGACTGGTGTAGACAATAAGTTCCAGCACAAAACATGTTTCATGCTGAAATGTGATGAATTTCTAAAATGGCTGTGATACGAGAGGACAGAGTAGTTGAGGCAAGGAATTATTAGCTAGGCAGTCAAATTAAGCTAATGAGGAGACATTTGCATTTTCTTTATTGAGGACAAGGTTTCATTTCAGTCTCTCCAACCCCGGTAATGTGCTGTGCTCATGAGAACATGTGACAAGCCAGTTCAGGAAGAACAAAACAGAGAACTAACCCAGGAAGAAAAACAGTTATTTTCCTACGCTAGCTTTACAAGCTGGCTTGCTCAGGGATGAAATGAGAGGAAACAGAAATGGTCTTTTTGGTTGATTTAGCTAGAATGTGAAACCTCACCTGGAGGCATGCCCTGCTTATCTCCTAGAGAGCAGGAAAAGATAGCAAATTATAGGGGGAGAGATCTGCCTGGGCCATTTTGAAGACTTAAAAGGGGAAATTAATTTTAATAGCTAACATGCTCTACTGAAGGGGGAATGCTTCCTGAGGATGGTGTTCTGTAATGAAGAGGTTTTCTGTAATGAATATAACATGACACATAAAAGCATGCACTTAAGAAGGGGATCCAGAAAGTTGTCTTGTCAGGTAGGAAGCTAGCTGGCTTGTTCAAGGAGTGATTTAACGTAAGTAGGTTTAAAGTGCAGGTTTTGTGTCATTTCTTATTTCTTTTAGAAAAATTTGTAATATGTCATATATTTTATGTTTCATTTATTAGCATTTCATCCCAACTAGTATTAAGTTTGGTATAATTTTAAAGTTACTAGATATTAACAAGCCATCGCTCACCCAATTTTGGGAAGTCTGTAAACTGGGGTAACTTAGAAAGTACCTTATTTAGATTGTCTGGAGAACATGCTAACAGAGCTGCAGAGGTTGCATGGAGGATTTTGTAGTAACTGTCAGGCACTCTGGCATACAGCAGGGTACTACAGCAGGTATTTCCATGGGGAAGTGTCTTAACAAGCTTTAAGATTCCTAGTGCAGCAGCCCTGTCTTACAAACCATTAATCTACTTGTTTAATTTAATTTACAAAGTTTCAACATGTTAACTTTGTATTGGCAGATTTTTCTGCAAATACTGAGTATTTCAGGCTCTGGCAGAAATGTGATCATGTGCCTGTGTCTGGCTCAGGGCAGGTCTACTGCCGAGTGACCCAGTAGTGCACAAATGTGGTATCAGGTGTGAAACAGATTTTCGTGGATATGTCCTGTCCTGAGAATGGTAGTTATAGTAGGTATAAAAGGGAAGAAAAAAACAAAGACATTGAAAATAGAGATTGGAAGACCTTGTCATTCAAGAAATGCAAAATTTGTAGCAGTGAGAGAGTCTAGGGTAAGGTGTCACCAACTTCACTGAAATGTAGTTATGCCTCCTGCTAGTTTAATGATCAGTAGCCAATGGCATAAGAATATTCTTTTGCTATCTAGTCAAACAGAGGGAAAGTAGGTCTCAGAAAGAAAGTTAGTAATTTCAGTACAGTGAATAGTGTCTATGGTTCTTAGGACTAATAATGTACAAAAAAAATCAGTGACATTTTCTAGAAAAAATGTGAAAAGGCTTCTGATCTCAAAGTGAGATTCTTTGCAGAATTTTGGTCAATTATGGTTGAGTTACTATGTAAAATTGTAGGTTAGAATTGTGATCCAAAATGCGTCTAAGCTCTGTATCTTCCTATATTGTAGAGGTCTTTATGATGAGGATTTTTGCTTTTCAATTTTTTGTCCTGTATCATATGTTTACAGAGCAGTAATGCATCTCTTCCTTATAGCATGGTTCAGGTCATGCTTTATTTCCTTCATGTCAAAATGACCATAATGAGCCTTTTGTTTAGTTTATTTTTTTTATGTTTGCCATCCTTTAATAGAAAACTAATAGAGCGTGCTGAGACCCTTTTACTTCACACTGAAAACCATTATATGTCTAGTGTAATTAGCACTGGAGATGTACTGCTTTTCTGATTACTTGTTTTTCTGTAATAATACATTTTCTTTTATACCACGTTGTTTTAAAGTCTCTGAACTTTAATCTTTACTGCAGTAAAACTGGAATGAATCTTTGATGATGTCAGTTCGCTACCATTTACAGAAATCTTTCACTGAAATCAAAGAATTGGGCTAATTTGAATTATAGATAGTACTTTGACATGAATTTCCTGAGTTACTTGTTGGACAAGTCGTGTAACCTTGTATTGGTTTTACTTGCTATATCCTTATCTATATGCTGCATTTGGATTAGTCATTAGTAAAGAATGGAGAGATGCTTAACATCACAAAACCAGAAATACTAAGTGTTATTATATATAACTGTTGCATATGATACTGTGTGTATTCCTTTTGCACATAGATGGCATCTGGTGATGGCTATGAGTGTTAGACATGGGACAAATTTAAAACTGTTTTCCCATCACTTCATCAGAGCTCTGTGCCCAACTCTTCTCCTTTCCACGCCTGCAACTGACAACTAACAGCAGTCACTGCAGTGTTGATGTAGCTGCAAAACAGCTAGACTTTTTTGCAGACTTACTGCTGTTAGACTGGAAAAAGGGTAGTAAGTTTTGAGAGGAGAGAGCTTGGGCAGAGAGTGGAGTCATAAGAAACAAGCATACTAGTAAGGCTAAGAAAGACTCCTCTGTAAGGGGGAGAGAGAAATTTAAAGGAGAGGGAGAAAAGAGTCTGTGAGTATGAAGAGCAGAAAGATGACTGGAAGATAAGTGAGACCTGAGGAGAGAGGGAGCTTTTTAAAGAGGTGAGGCATTTTCATTCCATTTCAATGATATCTAATTCTCATACTGTGTGTCAACCTTCCTCTCCTTTTATCGTTTCTACTGTTAGTATGAATTTATCATGATTATCTATTGTCTCTCTTTAATGTCATGCTCTATTAAAAATTCCCAACCTCAGCCATTATCTTATCAGTTTCTCCCCATTCATCTCAAAGAAATAAAGGTGAGTTGTGGTTGTTAATATTACTGCTACTTTTATTATTATTAATAAACACCAAATAGCACCAATTCTCATATGTTCTAGGTATTCATTTATGTCAGAATTCTGATTGCCAGTAGAAAATGAACTGTTCTGTTTTCTATTTTGCATTACACCATTGTTAGTGGTAGCTGCATGAGACAAAGTTTAGCAGATCTGGTGTACTGCAATGTTGTAAACGATGTTGCCCTCCTCTGGAGCTTTTCAAAAAGCTTTTCCAGTTTTTGCTAATTTTGTGTGGTCTGGTTTCAATATGCAAAATGATGGCAGAATCTTCTTTCCAACGTCTATTAGATACTATCAGAAGGCTGAGTTTTGCCGCCAGGAAGGCAGAAATTTAGGATCACTGTTTTTATGTCCTTTTTTCAGGTATCCAACTGCCAAAGGAAGATGAGATTTCAGTACCGGTGACTTCAATCTCCCCAGTTAAGGACACTGGGGAGAATGTTGATCTTGCCATTGAACAGGAAGAGAAGATGAAAGAAGAACCTTTAACCATCTCAGAACTGGTATACAATCCTAGTGCTAGCTTGCTGCCCACCCCTGTTGATGATGAGATTGACATGCTCTTTGATACCTGTCCAAGAGTAGAGAATGAAAAAGATGATACAGATTCATTTGAGGAACTGGAAGCAGATGAAAATGCATTTTTGATTGCAGAGGAGGAAGAACTGAAAGAAGCTCGGAGAGCACTTAGGTGGAGCTATGACTTTCTAATGGGCAACATAGAGGTGAATGCTTTTGTGAAGAGTTTCTCCAGACTTCTCCTCGTGGGCCTTGGACTGTTGTTGTTTGTGTTCCCTCTTCTGCTTGTTCTCTTGGAGTCGGACCTTCAAATCTCTTTTCTCCATGAAATCCGTCAGACACCGGAGTTTCAGCAGTTTCATATTGAATATTACTGCCCCCTTAGGCAGTGGGTGGCTTGCAAAATAAACTTCATTTGTGACATGCTGGGAAGCTTTTAAATTTTAAATAAACATGATACAACTAAGGGCTATATTCAAAATTTCAGTTAGTGCCAGCTTTCCATGAGGCCCCTGCAGCCATCAGTTGGTAGCTGTCTTCATATCCAGATCACTACAGACTCTTCAGGTTCTTAAGTTCCCTTTATATACTTAAATTGTCACTATAGTACAGGCTTATACCGTCACCTTACAGTAGCCAAAAAGAAGCTTTATTTTAATTTCATTTCAGACTTCCTGCTCATCTATTACATCATATGAGATGGGGTCACAATATGTTTCATTGTCCTTAACCTTTCAATCCATGACACTAAATCCAATGAAACTGAAAGAAAAACTTTTTTGAATATACTCCTTAGTGCAGCAATCTCTTTTAACCAATGCCTATACAAGCAATGTTTATGCTGGGTTTTTGGTTTTGGTTTGTTTTTCTGTTTGTTTGGTTTTTTACATTTTTATGTGTTTAAAATATTTTGGTAAATTTTTAGCAAAAGACAACTTCTGATGTTATTTAAATGTACAAGTTGGTCAGAATAATGCACAAGGGCACGTAGGGTGTTTTTAGTGTTTTAGCAATGATTTGTTTTTAAACTACTGGCTGGAGAATGAATGAGTTTAATATAGCTCTATACAGAGGGACTGTGGTTTGGGAAATACATAGAAAGTTCACTCAAGTTCAGTAGGGGCTGCCTGGGGGAGGTGAAAGGACACCAAGTACGCAGAAGAATTTTTGAAAGGCACAGTTGTAAAGCTTGGGGAAGTGAGCAGAACTGAAAGTAATGATCCTTCCTCTTACCTGTCAGGTTGTCTTACACTTCATCAGTGCTGTAGAAAGTCTCTACAAGATAGTCCAAGTACGTTTTGGAAGAGATTGAGTCTTCAGTCTAAATGTAGATTATTGTACATAACATGGAAGAAGATAATAGTAAGTAGCAAAAAAAAAAAACAAAAAAAACAA